GCCTCCCTTCACGCTGCTCACTAAGAAGTTTGTAGGAATCTCATTTCTCAGTGAGCCCTCGGACCTCGGCCTCAAGCTGTTTCAGCTCATCCCGGTATCGGAAAAAAGTCTCGTGGTGAAGTACCGAGGCCTACAAGCACAAAGAGAAAATGTTAGAATTATTTACAAAATAGCCTAAGTACAAATTGAAAACCATTGAGGAATATCTAAAGTTACCCGATTTAACGCCTATTGCGCTTCGTTGAACAGATAAGGTGCATCCACCTCATTCATCTTGGCATGATCATCCTCGGTCACCAGATATCAAAGATAACTATCCATCCCTATGGGGGCGGAGAGGACCCGGGAGTCCTCCGAAAGGGAGAAAGTGATGAATCGTTTCCGGCGGGAATCCACACTCGGGGCAGGGAATCGATTGAATAGTTTGGGGCTCAAGGAAGGTCCGCTTTCTCCCGAATATGGGCTCTTCCTCGGTATCTCTAAATCACCCAACCCGGTGACGCCCTCCGTGGACGTAGAGTCCACTCCATCAAAGAAGCCGCAAAAGGGATTGTCCGCTCCGAGGACTCCCTTATTGGGAAATTCTTTCACCGTTTGAGCCTCATTGTACATGGACTCAGTGAACGAAGATTACTCGGTGATCTCTATCACACTGAGTGCTTCCTTTGGTGCACTGCCTACGTCCCGGGAAACTTCGGTCTCAGCCTCCTCCTGTCCCTAGCTTGATGAAGATCGGCATCGTCTCCCTCTGGTTTGGAGGCCCCTTTCCCTTCGAGCCGTGTCAACATTCGGGCCACCAGATTGAAGGTTTCTTCCTCTTGTTCTTCTTCGGATTCATCCCTCATCTGATAGAGAGAACCCAGAGGTGGTGCTCGAGCGCTGGTGCTCTCTTTGGACTTATACACCAGCCTTCTTTTCGGCTTTTTCTTCTCCGAGCTTGGAGAACTCGGGGCCCTTTTTATTTTCTTCTCTTCACCATGTCTCAGAGCAGGGGACTCGGTAGGGACATCATCGCTACCAGATGGGGGCCTCATTTGGACATCCTTGGATAAACCTGCAAAAAGGGAATAAAGCAAGTGAGAATTTTGCATAAGGAAAACCAAATATTACCCATAAAAGAGATCTCACCATGCGAACGGACCTCTCATAGACCCTTTGAAAGCTCGCGCCACGAGCGCTTGGAATAGGGCCTTCGCTATACGATGCCCTCGACCCACTATTTGAGTCGAGGAACTGCATTCGGGACCCGAGCAACAACTACACCACCACAGAACACCGGTAAGTAGGAAGGAAAAAGGCGATAAATTAAAATTTTGGAACCTAAATTATACTTACATGACATGTTCCACTTCTCAGGGAATGACATGTGCTGGCCGGGATCAAGTCCGAGGTCTTCACTCGAACGAAACGACCTAACCAACCTCAATCCCTATCCTCGTCGATACTGGAGAACGGGGCGTTACTGGTCCGACGGGTGAGCTTGATCAATCCCCCCGGTAGAGTCGGGGACTGTACAAACGCATGAGGTGGTCGATAGTAAAAGGAAACCCTTCGATCGTTCTTACAAAGAAACGGATGAGGATTACGATCCTTAGAAAGAAGGTTAGATTTGACCGAAGGTTATCTCATATCTTTTGCAAAAGTCGATAATAACCGGGTCTAAGGGGCCCAATGTGAAGGGATAAGTATAAGCACTTGAAAATACCTCGACGTGGGTGGTGATGGCTTCGTCAGGTTCGGGAACCACCATATATTTGTCAACCCAGTTACAATCTTTCTTGACTTTGGAGAGAATATCCTCGGTGATCGAGTAGATGTACCTCGAGACCCCCTCACACCGGCCTGGTATGGAGGAGGGCTTTTTGACTTTAAAATTAGCATTGACCGGGCATCCCCCTGGGATGTACATTTTTAGAGGAGGTTCCGGTGCTGGTTCCTCAGTAGCAGTATGTGAAGCGGTCTCTTCGGTAGCCGGCTACGAGGTAGAAGGAGTTTCTTTTTGGGAAACGGTTTTGGAAGTTTTCGCCATTTCTTTATAGAGAGGAAATAAGGAAAAAGAGGAAGTTATAAGAGTACACTCGGTGGTTTGAGAAAAATACGAATGAGAGTTCTTATCAAATATCTCAAAGTAACTAGAATATAAGTGCTTGGAAGTATTAAAATTTCTTAGGAACAAGGTCAGAAGGTTTGAATTTAAAGTTTGAATGAACAAATGAGGGGGTATTTATAGTTTTTCATTGACGGTTCACATCTAGGAGTGGCTGACCAGCAACTGACGAGCATTTAATGCCATTAAGACTTGACTGGCGATACGTTTCGACTGCTTTGTCGTTTCTGTCATGTGGTGCCTAAAAAAGAATCGAAAGGTCATTTCATTTCTCGTCTCTACTCTTCGAAAAATGAGGAAACTATTTGTATACGGTCGGAATCGAGCTCGCCTATGACATGACAGATTAGGCTCGGATTATGACAACCAAAGATTGAAGATCGACCTCCGAGTCCCACCGAGCTAGAACCCGGGGTCAGAACGCCTGTCTTCGAGAATATTAAGTCCGTAATCTCGGAGTCAACCTTAGCCCCGATCGAACTCGAAAAAATATTATTAGCATAACCAACAGAAGACCGAAATATCCGTGACCGGTCGGATATTATGGCGGGAATCTCGGCACGAATTAATAAGGAACCGGCAATCAGTGAATCAAGAGATCTTTTACATTTTATAGAATTGTACCTAAAGTAGGAATCCTCTACTATATAAATAGGGGTATGATTATTCATTGGAACACATTGTAATACGCATCTCAAAACAATACATTGTTATTCTCTTTAAATTCTTATTCTTCTGTCTTGATATCGTTCGAAATACGTTTGTCTCGAGGTGACTAACCTTCCAAAGCTGAAACTGTTCAATTCGTGCGGTTTGCATTTACTTTATCGTTATTTGCTTCAATTGCAATATGATTTATCATTTTGTGTCAGTTTAATCCACGTTTCTTTAAAATCACTTACAAATTCAATTGTTATTCGATTTTGAGGCTAAACAAACTTAAGCCGATCTTGATCTATACAAATACCGATCGAGCTAATTTAATTCACGAATCTTGCTGGTAATGTGTGCCTCTATACGTAATCTAGCTATTCTTTTTTCTTTGATTTTCTTCCTTGTTTTTAGACATCCGTTATATGAAACTCACTAGCCCACTAATTCGGACTCCTCCCGGATAAGCTTTATTACTATAGGATAAAATGCTCCTAACCAAGAAGTTCTTTCTTTCCAGAGCTCGAGTTTGATTAAGGGTGAAAAATCTCAACCAACCCACCGTACTCCTTTGTGTTTATATGTAATCTAGTTCAGATGATTCAGGGAAATATTAACTCCCCCTGGAATCTTTACAATGATGTTGAAAAGATCAAGAAAATGGTAAGAAGTCACAACATACAAATCTCTTACTGTTTTAGAGAAGGGAATATGGTGGCGGATGCCTTAACCAAGCATGCTATTAACCTCAGCCAACATGTCCTATATGTTCAGGAAAGTCAATTGCCTAATGATGCCAGAGGCACTCTGAGAATGGATAAGCTTAACCTCCCTTCTTTTAGAATAAGAGTAGCCAAGCACATAGGTTGGTTTTATGAACCACCATGATGTTAGCTCCATACTTCTATCCAGGACTCAACAAGCTGATCCTGGTACACTCAGCTCCCTTAATCCAAATGAAGACTTCATTGACCAGTCGCAATCTCGATGGCAGTTACTGTTATAACGCTATAGCTTCTTTAGCTAATAGCAACTCTGTTACAAGGTTTATTCTCTTGACTATTGATTGGTTGCGTCCAATCCAAGCATTTCACTTTTCTAGTTAGGCTAACTAGTATTACCGGAGATAAGGTATTATGTCCCCCTCTTGTTGTATTAACTTTTGAGATTTTAATATACAAGGCAGGGGCCAATGCCAAACCCCCACCACGGGAGGTGAAAGCATGGGTGCATGGTTTTAATAAAAATAAAAAAAAATCTCCTATGACTCTTCCTAGATCTCCTTTAGAAATAATACACTGAGAAATTAAAAGAGGGAACGAACATCCATAGACGTTAAGCATGCGCATATGGTGCTATATCATTTACGTATCGTATCAGTATAAAGGTAAACTTTTGAGTAATTAATAAGGAAACAGAGAGGTATGCTTGGTCAAAGAATAGTTAAATAGCATCTGCAGAATGCTAGTGTGTAGTGGGGTCTGAGCTATTGGGCGGGAGTGAAATTAAGCAGAGGAGCACATGATGTTATTTTTTATCAGTCATCTTTGCTGATTCTATATGGTATTCTTTGGCTTGATTTTGTCTAATGTGTAGTTTAATTTGTAGGCAACAGCCAAGATGAAGGAAGCTGGCATTTCTGACATATTAACAGAATTTGTACCCTTTGTTGAATTTTTGCCGTTCCAGGATTTTTCCGTGCTGAAACAAAGATTCTGTATATTGAACATATATGAATATGGTCCCTCCTACTATTTATTACTGAAAGGTATCAGGAGTCCCCAGGGGCATATTTAGGACGTACGTGCTCCATGGTCCAAGCTAAACCGGTGCTTGTGGCCCGAATTATGTATGCATCTGCAAAAAGAATTTTGTAATATATACATATAATAAGATCATACTCGTAATGAACATACTAACTCTAAATTTTGGATTCACTTCTTGCTCTACCCGCGTCTTATCCTATGCCAAATTGCCAACGCATTGCCTTCCCATCTCCGCAAGCAGCAGGGAAGAAAGAGCTTTTAGGGGACGACAGTTTTAAGGTAATAAGACTTTGCTTACTAATACAGAAAGAAGATTTGACTACATTCATAGCATGCTTTCCCTTTAAAAAAACATGAATGTCCAAAAAACAAAAATCTTACCTTGATAAAAAATAAAAAATAAAAAAAATAAAACCATGAATGCCAATCCACATAATTGATCAATTTTTCTGACCGAAGCAGTTTTAGAAGTTCCCAGAATTCAAAAGTTACCTGGAACACCTTGAAATCACCACCAAAAAAAATAAAAATGTTTTTGGTATCGAATATCATTGCTGATTAACCAGACATCAACACTAGGAACTTCTAAAAAAGACCCTATAACTCCAATGACTACCGAGCTTGATGTATCACTTTGCGATGCAGTGTCAAAAAAGAACGCTACAATCTTAGATTCATGATCAAGATACACCAAGAGAGTGACTCACTGCTGCACTTGATCTGGAACAGAACGCCTCCAGATACCAACCAAGGCACTGCCAAATATTGAGTGACAAACACTAGAAACTGCACATGGTACTGCAGTAAGCGGGTTACCAAAGTGCTGAGTGGCTAGAACTACTCCAAGAACCGAGTTCTGCAACAAACAAAGTACAATTTAATGAGTATACAGCACCTTACTAAAAGGCATGGTTTATATCAATGGCTTATCTAATTATTTAAGTGTCATCTTTCCCCTGATTGTTTTTCAGGTGCCATTTTGTAATACGTTTACAAATATTTTCTTCAGTCATATACTGAGGGCTGGAAGTGGCAATTCTTTTTCGATAAATGGGGGAGAGAGAGAGAGAGCTCTTCCCAGAGCCTATTTCTGAAATCATCTGCTTACCTGCATGCCGACTTCAATAGATATTGTCCTTGAGGACGATACATCAACCCCGAGCATCCTTGAGAGCACGTAGCCAAAGAAGAAGCCAGGTGCATGAAGAAGAGCAGCAGCTAAGACAACCTGTTGACCTGACATGAGGATTGCAGAAGAACTCTGCGCAATTGCATTTCCACAAAGAACTGCAACAGTTGCTACAGCAATAGGGGGCATCAATGGAAACACAATTTTGACAAGGCTTTTGAAATACTGATTCAGAAATGCACCAGCTAAGACAGGAAGAAGAACCACCTGCATGTTGGCAGGGTTTATAATTTATTCTGACGAATTACAATACTACGATAATGATAAGCCAATAACCAAATTAGGAAACAGACCTGCAAAGTGGACATGAAAAGTCCAGCTGCATCTACTGCAACAAATTGCCCTGCAAGTTTCTCTGTTAGGAAAGGGGTCATCCACCTGCATGTGTAACCAGAAAGGTCAATTAACTTAAGGGAGCTCTCACACCATCAGATAGGATTAGAGTATCTTTCATGATATTAAGAGAAGCGTGAGACACATTCAACAATAAGAGGAAGTGTGGGAGCTTTTTCCCACATTGTTTAAGAATATGAGTGTACTAATAAAGAACCGCCCACCAGTCTTAGACAAAAGTTCTCTGGTTGCTTACTAATAAGTGAGATGATAAAGTGCTTTGTTTATTACGTTTAGATATAAAGATCACCGTTTGTGTCTTTTAGGCGCACTCGCAAACACGGATTTGCTTACCAATAATTTTGCTGTTAAAGTTAAACACAGATCAACAATTTAATAAAACTATGTATGAAGAAAACAATCTAAGAACCTAAATCTTTTCTTATATTCTTGACCATCCAAACACACTTTCCTGTTCTGAACTTGACACTTCCATATGACCATTGAATACTCAATGTTACGCTCTCTAATTCTGCACCTTGATTGTAGGCTAGAGGCAAAATATTTGGACCTGTTTGCACAACAACTCTGGTGGTAGGGATTAATTTAATCATTTCTTTTAGTGCTGAAGCCTTCACTTAATCTGCATATTTTTCCCATCTGAATTTCAAAAACATCCTGTCTACATCTGATGTCGATCCTGACAGTTCATCTTTGTCTTTGACGTTGGCAACAATTGATTGCTCTGATAATCTTACTAAGCTTGTATTGCTCTTAGGACAAAATGGACCAACTCCTCCAAATGCCTTTATGCTTTTAGAAATCAAGAGAATTCAAATTCAAAGTAATTTGAAAAAGAAGCTCCCCAGGTTTGTTTTAGATGCTTGTTGATTATTCTGTCAATAATGCATTTCTTTGTCGGCCAAAAGGTTTCTTCACAAGACTTTGGAGTTACTTTAAGTTACACATTTCAGAACTATCTCATGAATTGTTTTAGGTCACTTATCCTTGGGATGCATAAAACACACGACATACGCATATGGACAGATATAAACGTCTTATATGCATATTATATTCATCAACCAAACAAAACTACTAACCACAGCAGATAGGGTACTTGCACCAGTCATCAATACTGAAAGCGCCACATTGCCACTGCAGTTGAATGAAGTATCAACACCTAGTAGGTATTATAATGGAAAAACTAATCATTTGTACGAGGCAAAGGTTACTTGTTCTTAATGGTCACCTTGTTCTACTACCTGTAATCAATGTGCATCCTCATAGAACCATCCTTCTTTTTCAAAAAGAACATTGGTGCACCCCAAGGAGATACATTCGACCTGATGAATCCCTTATCTAGCAACTTCTGCAGCTATTCCTTTAGCTCTTTTAANAACAGTAATATGAATAACAATGATACAAGAGAACTTTCCTCAAGTACCTACCGTGCAATGTAAGTGACAATATTACTTGCCGTCCCTGCAGAAAAATGCATGAGATGCTTAGTAAATGTCTATAAGTAGAAGGTTTTGAAAAGGAGTCTAACTAAGCATACCTCCAGGACAGCAGCCAACCAATATCAAGCCTGCTGCATAATAGGATGGCAAATTTAACAGCTTGCTAATAAATACCCAAGGGTGTGGCCTAGTGGTCAATGAAGTGAGTGAGAACCATGAGGTCTCAGGTTCAAATCCACGGAGCCAAATACTAGGTGTTTTCTTCCCATCTATCCAAGCCTTGGTGGATAGAGTTACCTGGTACATGTTGCTGGTGGGAGGTGGCAGGTATCCCGTGGAATTAGTCGAGGTGTACGCAAGCTGGCCCGGACACCACGGTTATAAAAAAAAAAGAGGCATCACCTACACCAGAAAACAGGCTGATAATATGTCCACGCCAAGAAAATTAAGCAGGAAATATATTTTCTTAGTAGTGTGGGATAAACTGCAAATCTAACGCAGGTCGTCACAAGAAATGGACAACGAATGACTAATGAATGACAAGGTAAACAGAAATGCGGAACAAGTTCACTTTATATAGAAAGCACTTTCCGAGAGACATCACAGGAAGTGCAATTTGTTGAACAAAAGAGAGGATGGACAAATAGAACAAACTATTAGTTTAACAGGGAAAAACGAAGTCCAGGGAAGCATATATTTGAGTTGCAATCTAAGAGCTAACATTCAAGAGGAACAACAACAACAACAAGAACCCGGTATAATGCCACTAGTGGGGTCTGGGGAAGGTAGTGTGTACGCAGACCTTATCCCTACCCTGGGGTAGAGATAGACCCTCGGCTTCCTCCCTTCAAGAACTTCCCACCTTGCTCTTGGGGTGATTCGAACTCACAACCTCTTGGTTGGAAGTGGAGGGTGCTCACCACTAGAGCAACCCAAGAGCGACCCACTCTTGTAAAAAGTAAGAAAATGCATAATCGGAAGCTGACAAATCTGGATAAAATCAACAATTGGCAGCTTAGGAACACAAAACCAAAACAATATCAGTTTTCACCCTAAGTCTTCTGTCTTTATATGGTGAAATGCACTTGGTAGCAAAGTGCTACAATTCATTTTGAATTTGCATATGGTTTTTGGAAATGTACTTACAAGTTGTCAGCATACTTCATCCATATCATTTTATCATCTTGCTCATGGAGCAACAAGGAGTTGGATGGTACCAAACTTAAGTACTAGTCAGAGAACAAACAAACGATTAATTTCTAAGTTATAGAAAAAAAAGTTGCCCCTAGGGCTTTGGTTCGATGCCAAAGGTAGTACAAAGAGAAATGTGCGGTAGGCGCACGTCATTGGACCAAAAGTAACCGTAGCATGGGGGTCTATGAGTTCAAATCCACCGCGCATCAAAGCTGAAAACAACGGATTAATTGGTTATCAATAAAATTACAGAATAAGTGTTGCTCCTTCTTCTGCCACAAATGTAGACTAAAATGGACAAAGCTTCATACATCAAAACAATGCACTGGAAATGAGTCATCCACATTCCACTGTTCAGTTTAAACAGTATTCATGAAAAGGAAATTTTTCTGTGGGGTTACGTGAATTCTACATTTACTTTGGTAACCAATTGCCAGTTCTTGGTCATTAAAATTGAGATTCATGTCAATTCAGATTAATATTTAGGTATAAATGTTACCTCTATTACTTTGGAAGGATTATTTCTAGCTGCATGCTTATAACACCGGTCAGGGCGGAGGCACAAGCTGACCTATGGGTTCGGCCTAATCCAGTAACTTTTGCTTAAACGGTGTATTTAGTGTTTTGAATTCATGAAATATGTATGTAGACAATAAATTACGTTGAGAAAATAAAATCAAGACCGAAAATATTGCAACAATCGTAGTATTTTATTTCAAATAATTTGAGTGTACAATCTCTATGAATCCTCTGATTCTTCTTTTCAATAGTAAATAAAGGAGCCTCCGAGCTTAATCTTGAATTTTATTTTATTTTAATCCAAGTGCTTGAAGCTTGATCTTGATCTTGACGTATTTTTAATCTAAGGGTTGATCTTGACGTATTTTTAATCCAAGGGCTTGCAGCTTGTTCTTGAATCTTCGTCTTGATTTTTTAATCCTTAGAACACTTGAATGCTTGTAGCTTTTAGAGAAATCTGCAGCATTTGATCCACGAGCTTTCTCTTGCTTCTTGTTATAACTTCTGGTGTCATTTCTGGGTTATGAAGACCCCTATTTATAGTTGTGGAATGGAAGAGTTATGATAAGAACAAACTTTTTCCGACCAATCAAATTGAAGTGTGACATGACCACATTTGATTGGTCAGGACATGTCACTTGCACACGTGGCGCGGTTTCATTGGCTTTCTAATATGACTTGACATGCCTTGTCATTTTGACACGTGGCATGATCCTATTGGTCCTTCCGTTTGACTTGGCGCGCCACGTCATTTGACACGTGGCACCAAACTGGGCCTCTAGGAAGATGACATCTTGGGCCTAATGAAGTGGGCTCATCACTTTAGCCCAATTGAATTAGCTAGCCTAATGGATTAAGACTTATTTATTTAATCCATTTATATTGGACTTATACAATTAATCCAATTATATTAGCCCAATAAATTTATTTCAACTAATATATCTTGAATTTAAAATATAGTCCAAATTATTTTACGAATTTAATTTCAACAAAATTTATATGCCCACAAATACCCCTACTTCAAAACTTGTCAAGGTATAAACTTTAAAGACTAGACTTGAAGTATTTACGAGAACAATTTGTATCTTCCTTTTTACAAGCGCTTTGCCGGATTAATTCATGTATATCCCTTTCAACTTGTAGCTTAAAATGACTCATTGTCAAATTAAGGAAAAGAGTAATAGCTTTATTTGCTATTATTTTGGAAGTAGTACGCCAAACCACAATTTACATGAAATGGCCAGTTGTGCTTATTGATTTCAAAAGATTTGCACATGACTTCTTTCTTTGCAATTCGAAATTCTGTTGAAGAAGTAATTTTCTTTCCTCATTCACATGTGATTACTTTCAATGTGGCGCGACTATCAGAGAGATTACTCTCAATCTGGCTCGACTATCGGAGAGATTACTCTCAAAATGACCCGACTATCGGAGAGATTACTCTCAATGTGGCTCGACTATCGGAGAGATTACTCTCAAAATGACCCGATTATCGGAGAGATTACTCTCAGAATGACCCGACTATCGGAGAGATTACTCTCAATGAAAATTATAGTTCCTTTTAAGGACAAACCCACGAAGAGGCCAACTTAAGGTACAAAGGGACTTATATGTCCACCTTAAGATTGGAAAGTTATAAAGCTTCAACTCGAAGACGACATCGACTTGACGATATCGACTTGAACACTTGGAAAACTTTGAAGATTTGGCGGACTTTGCAGACTTCAACTTGAAGATTTGGAGGGCTTAAACAATTAAACTTTAAGACCGGCAAATTTGAAGACTTCAACTTGAAGACCGATGGACTTGAAGACTTCAACTTGAAGACCGATGGACTTGAAGACTTCAACTTGAAGACCGACAGACTTGAAGATTTCAACTTGAAGACCGACGGACTTGAAGACTTCAACTTGGAGATTTGGAGGGCTTAAATATTTTAACTTGAAGAGTGGCAAACGTGAAAACTTCAACTTGAAGACCGACGGACTTGAAGATTTTAACTTGGAGACTTCAACTTGAAGACCGACGGACTTGAAGGCTTCAACTTGGAGACTTCGAGGGCTTAAATATTTCAGCTTTTCTTTTGCTTTACATTGTCCGACTTTTATCTTAGTCGCATAATTTTCAGCTTTACGCGCTTGTAACAAAAGATTAATATCTTGTGGTGGGAGAGTCCAAATAACAAACCGTTTGATTTCTCGAAAATTAGACTTCAATATCTAAAATATATCCAAAACTTAGAATCAAACACCTTCAGAATCGCCCCACATAATATTTTTTTTGAAACCAACTTTAGATTCTACCACGTTGAAAATTTTAAATTTGCGCAGTCTTACCAAAAAAATCATATCTTGGTGTAGAAAAGTCGAAATCACGAACCGTTTAATCCATTGGAATCTTAACTTCCAAATCTATAATATATACAAAATTCAAGATTTAATGCCTTAAGGATAGTTTCAGAATAGTTCGAAATCAATATTAAATTCTGAGGCGGCGACAATTTCAGATTTGCACGACTTCATCAAAACTTTTGTATCTTGATGTAGGAATGTCGAAATCACGAACCGTTTGATCTATTGGAAACTTAACTTCAAATTTATAACATATCCAAAATATAAAATTTAATACCTTAAGGATAGTTTCAGATAATATTTTGAAGTCAATACTAAATTCTGACGCACTGACGATTTCAGATTTGCGCGACTTCGCCAAAACCTTTGTATCCTGATGTAGGAACGTCGAAATCATGAACCGTTTGATCTATTGGAAACTTAACTTTCAAATATATAACATATCCAAAATAAAAAATTTAATACCTTAAGGATAGTTTCAGATAATATTTTGAAGTCAATACTAAATTTTGACACACTGACGATTTCAGATTTGCGCGACTTCGCCAAAAGTTTTGTATCTTGAAGTAGGGACATCGAAATCACGAACCGTTTGATCTATTGGAAACTTAACTTCCAAATATATAACATATCCAAAATAAAAAATTTAATACCTTAAGAATAGTTTCAGATAATATTTTGAAGTCAATACAAAATTCTGACACAGTGATGATTTTAGATTTGTGCGACTTCGCCAAAAGTTTTGTATCTTGGTGTGGAAGCCTTGAGATTGTAAGACCCTTTTAATTATCATAAATTGAAATTCAAGAGCTTCTTGAAATATATATATATA